GAAGCGGCAGTTTCAACATTGGGGCGGGGCTAAGAGCTGAGCAGCAGCTGATTGGCCAGCCTCCGAGACCGTACTGGCGCTCCACCTTCGCACTGGACGGACGCCCCGGGACGGGCTGTGATTGGTCGGCGTGGGGTCGCGGGCTACGCCCAATTCCGCGGCAGCAGTTTGAGGGTTGCCAGGGGATTAGCGGAGTGAGAAGGCGGCTGGCGACCCAGTGTTTCGTGCTTTCAAAAATTAGTTTTTATTATTTCTTTATTATATGTCACCATCTTATTTTTATTCTGAGTGTTTATTGTGTGTAATTCGTGTCGGGCAGCACTGTTAATAGGCACTGGGAGGCAGAAAAGCAGAGGGGTCCCTGTCTGGGAGGAGAGCAGGCAGCCAGGGAGGTGTGTGCAGAGAATCCAGTCTGTAAACGTGAGCAAATCTATATGGTGTGGCCCTATGCACCAGGTATTCTCCATATGCCAACACATTTTAACCTCAGAAATGTGTTTTAAGATGAGCGTTATCCCATTTTGCAGGCCCAAACAGAGGCCATGGAATGGACTGGCCTGAAAATTTAACAGTCAACAAATGCACCAAATTAACAGCCAAAAAGGAAAAACACCTAGACAGATACAGACAAAACCACCAAGCGCTCTCCAATTTTCTTGCTAGTTGGAAACAAAGTACCACAAAACTGCCCTTGGCTTAGAGTCAGTGATGTTCCTGCATTTGACAAAATCCAAAATTTCTGATTTTTAAAGGTCTTCCAGGAAACTAGCACAAAAAGGGAACTTCCTTATCCTGATGAAGGCATCCAAGAAACACCTTATCAACCTATTTCACAGTTCAGAACTGAATGCTTTTCCCTTAAGAGCAGAAAAAAAGGATGTTTGTTCTCCCCATTCCAACATCATACAAGAATTCTAACAATTTTCTAAAGAAATAAAAGTCACTTAGGCTGGGAAGGAGGAAAGCTGTCTTTATTCACAGATGGCATGAAAATAGAAAATCTCAAGGAGTCTACCAAAAAGCTACCAGCCTTGTTAGGGTTGGCAAGGTTGCAGGATAGATCACTACACAATTATACTTCTGTTAGGCAGTAAGCAATAAGAAATAGAAATTTTTAAGATACCATTTAAAAGAGCATCCAGAAATATGAAAAATGAAATGCTTAAAGGTAAATCTGAAAAAATATACAAGACATGCTTTAATTTATAAAATGGAATCCTCTCTGGTAGCTTAGGGGTTAAGTCCCAATTCTCTCACCACTCCACCTGAGTTCAATCCCCAGCCAGGGAAGTGACGCACATAGGGCACAGCAGGCCTCTTCTGTCTCACTGACTGCTCCCTTAGTAAATCTGTCTCTCCTGCTCCCTACTCTGTCTCCTCTCACCGCTCCATACTTCTGGCCTACACCCCAGTTCTCCTACACACACACACATACACACACACAAAACTGATTAAAAATTAAATTAAAAAATTATAAAACGTCAAGGGAAATTAGAGTTAAATAGTTGGAGAGATACCTATGCTCATACAAAAACTTCAGGATGTCAGTTCTCATAAACTGGCCTGTAGACTCAAGGTAATCCCCACCAAAGTCCCAGTGAGTTCCTGAAATTCTTTTGGGAATGCAAAGGATCTTAAGTAACAACAAAAAAAAATAATAATAATTAATAAAATTTGAAAACAAAGAACAAAGTCAGATGACCAATACTACCTGCTTCAAGATTTAATCTGAGGGGCCCTCCCTGGAGGCCCAAGGGGTTAAAGTCTCAGCACTATGAAGCTATCTGAAGCCACTGCAGCATGAGTTTGATCCCCAGCCAGGTAGCTGACCCACATGCACAGCAGACCTCTCTTGTCTCACCCACTGCTCCCCTCAGTAGTGTGGTTCATTACATTTGCCTGTTCTGTTTCCCACTCTGTCTCTGGTGAATCCTCTCACCCCCTCCCAGCACCCCCTTCTGGCCTATACCCTAGTTCTTGTATGCATAAATAATTTTTTAAAGTCTTAATCAGAGAAGAATAGTAATCAAGAACATGTAGTATTGGTTTCCAATTAGAGAAATAGATAAATGAAACAAAAGAAAGTCTAGGAATAGTCTCGCATATTTGATCAGTTAAGTTCTGACAAAGGTGCAAAGGTATTTAAGTGGAAAGGATTAGCCTTTTCAACAAAATGGTATAGGAACAATTACATACATTATACCAATGATATACCACAAAAACCAAGATTGTAAAACTCCTCTGTTTTTAACACTTATAAATATTAACTCAAATTGGACCTAACTGTAAAATCCAGAACCATAAAACTTCTAGATAAAAACTCCAAAGAGCACCCCATGTTTACTGCTGCTTTATTTACAACAGGAAAGATGTGGAATCAACCCAAATGCCCAAAAGTGGACGACTGGATTAAAAAGATGTGGTACATATACACAATGGAATCTTACTCAGCAATCAAAAACATAAACACATGTCTTTTGCAGCAACAAGGATGAAACTAGAAGGGATCATGCTTAGGGAAATAAGCCAGAAAGAAAAGGAAAAAATACCGGATGATTTCACTCAAAGTAGGAGTATAAAAGGCCAGGGGAGAAAATAATAATAACAATGAACAACTATATACCAGAGACATTTTACAGGGGTGGAGTGGGGAATGGGATCAAAAATGGAGGGGTGGGGGAAGCATGGGACTATGGTGATGGCACATGGGTGACTTGGTGATGGGAAGCCCACGGGGATGACAACTGAGATGGAAAAAGGCACAAAATGATGTAAAAATAAATTATTATATTTTAAAAAAACAGACCGTGGGTCTAAAAGAAATTTCTTAAAATTGTTGAAAAGGATGTGGTGAAAGAGGAACCCTATTAGTATACTGTCGGTGGGACTGTCATCTGGGGCAACCATTAGGTAAAGAGATCTGACTTTACCTTAAAAAACTAATAATGGAAATACTGTATGACTCAGCAACCCCATTCATGGACATCTATCCAAAGAATATGAAACCATCAAGACAAAAAACCATGTCCACAATGTTCACAGCAGTAACCTTTAAAATAGGTAGCAGATGGAAGCAGCCTAAATGCCCATCAACAGAAGATTGATTCAAGATGTGGCAGATCCACGTTTTGGAATATTATACAGCTATAAAGAAAGATGAAATGCAACCACATTCAACAAAATGGAGGGAGTTTGAGAGAATGATATGTACTAAAGCAAATCAGATACAATAAAACAAATGCTGGTGATTTACAGAGCAGATGACTCAATGAAGTAAAGTACTTAGAAAAACTAGTGAACATGAATAAAACACCCTGAAGGTTTTGAAGTTAAGACCACCCTCTAAGGAAGGAAATGGACAAGGGGCTATAGTGGATGTTAAATAAAATGTTAAATAAATTAAATAAGTAGGGCCCTCCCTGGTGGCGCAGCGGGTTAAAGCACAGCACTGAGAAGCTAAAGCCACTTCTGCATGAGTTCGATTCCCGCCTGCCCCAGAGGTGACCACATGGCGTGGCAGACCTTTTCTGACCAGCCCGCTGCTCCCCTCAGCAGTGTACTTCGTTGATCTGCCTGTTCTGCTCCCCACTCTGTCTCTGGTGAAGTCTCTCACCGACCCTGAGGCTCTGGTCTGTACCCCAGTTCTATATGAATTAATTAATTAAGTAAGTAAGTAAGTAAATAAAAATAGAATGGTCAAGAGCAGAAAGAAATTTCTTAGGTATTATATCAGAAGTATAGCCCATAAAAGAAAAAATGGATAACTTACTGACTTAAATCAAAATTAAAAATTTCATCTATTCTTTGAAAGACTTGGTTAGGCCCTCACTGGTGGATCAACGGGTCAAAGCACAGCACTACAAAGCTAGTCACTTCTACTGCAGCACGAATTCGATCACCAGCCAGGGAGCTGACCCACAGGGGTGTGGCAGACCTTTCCTGACCTGCCCGCTGCTCCCCTTAGCAGTGTACTTCACCAATCTGCCTGTTCTGCTCCCCACTGTCTGGTGAATCCTCTCACCACTCCTGCACCTCTGGTCTCTACCCCAGTTTTGTATGCATAAATAAATATATATTTAAAAAAAAAAGACACAGTTAAACAAATGAAAAAAAAAGCCATGAAATTGAGAAAATACTTGCAAGAGTTTGTATCTCATGAAGAATTCATAGCTGCAAAACATGAAGAAGTCTCAAAATGACCCTGATTTTAAAATAAAAGAACTGGATGTTTCACGAGAGCCAGTGAGCCCATGGCTCAATACTATAAAACACTCCCGCAGAGGCTACCAGCCTCCACTCAGCATCGTTACACACCGTGACTGCGCCAGCATTGTCACCCAGGCTGACTCCAGTCTTCCCTTGCTCTGGGCCCCCTTCACTAGGCAAGGGTAATCAACCAGTGGGAAATCGCTCTAGCACTGTATGGCTAAAATGATGTGTCCAATTGAAGACTATACCAAGTGGTGATAAAGGTGGAGGAAAAAGCTATAATCCACATGCACTGCTGGTGGGAATACATAATGGTACAACCACTTTGGAAAACATTTCAGCATCATGTATCCTTAAAAATTAGGGGCCTCCCTGGTGGTGCAGGGGTTAAGGTCTCAGCACTATGGAGCTTTCCCCAGCTACTGCGGCCTGGTAGGAGTTCAGGGCCTGGTAGGAGTTCGGCTCCCCGGCCAAGGAGGTGACCATCAAAAATGAATGAACTGTTGACACATACAACAGAGAGGTGTCTCAAGATGAGTTGAAAAGAGAGTGCATGTTATATCCCCCATCAGTACAAAACTAGAAAATGATCTAATGACAGCTCAGACAAGAACTTCGATGACTCGACTGCAATGTTTGTCTTAGCTGGAAATGGACAACCAGTGCGACTAGCCTGTTCAAGAGTGACCCAGCTGGACCGAAGGGACAGAGCTCCCAGGGGACAGAGCTGTCAGCTGGACACGTGGTCATCCATTTATAGGGAGGGATAAATGGTCACAATAACTGGGCAGGGGAAAATGGCTTAGCTAGTGGTCAGAGGTGGTCAGGGTTAAAAAACAAGGGCCAGGCGACCTGAGGGAGAGGTAACAAGATGGAGCAATGATTAGCCACTGGGGAGTGGGGCTCAAAAGACTGAATCTCCCATGTTCCTCAGGGAACATCTGCTATAGCTGTTAACAGCAGCACTGTCCACCCCCAGTGCTAAGGGTTGATAAAAGCCTGTTAAGAGAAAGGGCCCTTTAATTAACCAGTTTTTACGGAGCTAATTCTTTCCCAGGGTGGGTGGCATGTATAACAAAAAAAGACAGAAGTCAGGCCTCCCTGGTGATGCAAGGGGTTAAGTCTCAGCACTGTGAAGCTGTCTGCAGCCACTGCAGCTCGAGTTCAATCCCCAGCCAGGGAGTGACCCACAGGGCACAGCAGACCTCTCCTGCCTCACTGCTGCTCTCCTCAGCAGTGGATTTCAGTCAGTCTGTTCTCTAGTGAATCCCCTCACTCCCTGCACCTCTGGCCTATATCCCAGCTCTTGTATGCATAAATAAGTCTTAAAAAAAAAGATATAATCTTGGACCTTGAGACCTTGCAGTTTTTATTCCTTGAAAGACATGTCAAGATGACTGCTATGGAAAGCATATATGGGCCCATGCTGCCTTGGAAAGCACTCAGAATTGCCAGCGAGGGGGGAAGATTTTAAACAGGGCTCTGGGTAGGCCCCATGTGGTGACATTCAGAGGGTGACTAGCAGTGGCTACTTCTGGAAGGACCGGCAGAGGCAGAGGCTCTGTGGGTTCAGAGGCTTAGCAGGTCCCAGGCAGGAGCCCGCGTGGCTGAAGCAGGGGGAGCCAGGCAGTGAGGAGCATCCAAGGCCGCGCAAACTCCGAAGGCTGAAGGCCGGCAGCGCTGGGCCTCAGACTGGTGGTTGGGGGCCGGAGCAGGGAAGTAACATGAACTGAGAGCTTCGGGTCTGGCCCGGGCGCGCGGGCAGCTGCCCTGAAACCAGCACAAGCAGACAAGGGGGAGGGGAAAAGAAGGAACTGGTCAAAGCACACCTGACGGCAGGGGGAGGCAGGGGGAGGCAGAAGCGACAAGGCGCGCTGTGAAGGCGGAACTCGGTCACGCACGGGCTTGTGGGGGGCCCAGGACACCCTGTGTTTGTGGCCTGGGGATGTGAGGGCGAGGCTGCCATCATGCGAGGGGGCCTCTGCCTGGCGCGAGCAGCACCGGCGAGATGGCGCCACAGGCCAGGCGCCAGGGGTGGCGGGCCAGGGGACGACAGTCCCGCCACAGCCGCCAAAGGCCCTTCAGATGAGAGACAGAGAAAAGGTCACAAGCGAGTTCTCAGAAGGCAGACTAGGGTGGACCAGTGTGAGTCACTGAAGTGAAAAACGAATGGTTTAGAGATACGGCGAAATCTGTCGAGAAATCACTCGAGATTTCCTGGTCCCCAACGATCAGTTAACGCCTGCCGTTCTGAGAGTATCAGATTCCTTCCAAGAGGAGAACAGCAGACAGAAGAGAGCGGGAAGTTCCCCGAAACAGAGCGAAGGTCATTTCTATTAACGCAGCGGGCAGTCAGGCTGGCAAAGGGGCGGGTGGGGCCGAGGGCTGAGGAGGCAAAGACTCCGCCGAGGGTTTCCAACCGGCTTTATTTTAGTTTCCAATATTATCAGCAATGATACAGGAGTAACTCAGGCAAGTAGATCACCTTAAATACATCAGAGGAAACTCGCTGTGTCAAGCATGTCTCACACTCCAGCAAAAGAACATAAAAACAGAACAAGGTTAGCAGCATGACAATAAAGTGCTTTTTGTGATACTTTCAGAAAGTCTCTCCCGCAGCGGTAGGAAATGAAACTCAAAATTGCGTTTACTACCCAGGGGCTGCGTTTAAAAAATTCATGTGTAGTTATTCTAAGTCATTTTTTTCTCCAAAAAGCACGAAATTCATTCGGGTTGTGTGACACTGATTTTTTCTGACACGCTGTGAGGGGACCATCGTCTGGGGCACCCCCAGCCACACCAGGCCCTTACTCATGGCCACGTAACGGGGAAGGCTGAGGGCATGTGCAGGGCGGGGGGGCAAGGCCCCCCCCACGCCACCCAGCAGGGAGCTGCCTCCTCTGGGAAAGTCCTGCTGGCTTCGGGTCTCTGGTCTGCACAGCGAAGGCTGCCTGTCCAGGTGGCGAACGCCCCGGAGACGGAAGCTGCCCCACTTCCACCAGTGACGATCCCAAAACTCAACCACAAGAAACATTTCTCAAAGTCAACGCGAGGCCACACGTGTCAGTCAGAGGCAGCGGGGAGCGGGGAGCATGGGAGGCCGGGGCTGGTCTTTCCCAGTCTTGAGCGAGGCGGGGGAGCGGTGGGGACATCTCCGCGGGGGCGTGACAGGGATGCCCCCGAGCTGGGGGCGGGAGGCTCAGGCCCCAGGAGCCCCTTACAGTGAGGTCAGAGGGCCCAGTTCTGCGCTCACCCAGGTCCTTTCTCCCACCATCTTTCCTTCTTCTACCTCCTTTAACAATCCCAACCAAACTCTCTCTGACCAATGATCAAACCAGACGGCAAGGGCCGAGGACTGAAACCAGAACGAGGGGCCACTGGTATCAGCCCACGCCCGGGACACCCCTCTCCACACACCACTCCCGTAAGCTCCCTCACGACTCCAGTCGCCTCCGCAGCACCTCTTCTTCCCCCCACGGCACAGGGCCCGCCTACCCTGGGCCCCCAGCGCACGGAGCCCCACCATCACCATGTAAAAGGCTGCCAGCGGGATGAAGCGTCAGAGCTGAAGGACCAAACTGCCACACGAGCCACAGGCCTGGATGCACTTCTGGAACTACTGCTGCTGTGCTCTGAGAAGAAAACCCCACCGTCCCCTAGGAGGCTTCTCCCGGGAGCGCCGGCTGGGTTAGTGTTGCTGGAGAGGGCGTCTGCCTGATACCGGGGGGGCTCCCCGCTGAGGTTCCGTGATGCTGGGAGATGCCAAGGTCTTATCAAGCGGTCAAGTGAGTCTCAAATGGGCTGACAGAGCAGAGCAGACACCCCTGTCGGTACCATGCCATCAAAGTTGCCAACTTAAAAACTCTCCTGCAGGGGTGAGCTGGAAGATCTTCCTGCACCGGCAGGCAAAGGCGGGGGAAATAACTAGCGACGAAGGGCTTGAGCCAGTCTGAGACGGACACACTCAATCTCGCCGTGCGGCGGCAGCGGCGCCGGGAGCCGCCTGGCCAGGAGGCAGCCCCTCTGCAGGCAGCGCCGCCCTCCAGGGAGGCTCCGCCGGTGGCCCACTATCTGCTGGGCTGCAGGTACTGGTGCGTGAACATGTTGAGCTCGCTGTCCAGCCAACCGGCTTTATTCCTGCAAAGAAACGGCTGCTTCAGAACGGGACAGCGCTCGCAGGGAGCATCGCCAGGCATGCCAGCTACTCAAGGACGCCTGGCCACAGCCTCACCCTCCAGCAAGCCCCCACTGTACAGATGAGGACAGTGAGGTCCAGAACGGAAGCCACTTCCTGGGGTACTCGGTGGGGCAGCTGGACATCGGGTCTCTGGCCCAAATTGGCTTCCCTCGGTTCTCCTGCCTGCCAAGTGAGGGTCCAGGTACTCACCCCCCCACCCCCCAAGGCAGACAAGCAGCTGAGACACAGTTCCCCCACCCCTACCCCCAGAGCAGGAGTGGGGTGTCCCTAGAAAATAGCTTCTTGCAGGCAGAGATGGGCAGGGCCCATCTGCATCAGCAGAGCAGGGAAAGTCCACTGGCCACTGTGGTCCCCCAGGCGCTGACGTCAGGGGCGGGGGTGTGGGAGGGGCAGGAAGCAGGGTCCTGTGTGCTGATGCTATCTCCGCCCAACGGGCCGGGGACTTCTACAGGCAGTGACACGTGCTCTGTGGTGGTCACAAAATCTTACTCCAGATCACAGATGAAAACAATGACGCAGAAAAGCTCAGAGACCTTCCCAGACACGAGTGCCAGGAAGGAGCTGGGGCCCGAGTGCTGAGCTGGACCCCCAGCAAGCTGCTACGGAGGCTGAGTCAACAGGACTGTGCAGGCCGGGGACCCGATCCGGCCGTGCTGGTCACGCCTCCCCTCTGCTCAAGAGGGACGGAGGAGGAGGAGGAGAAAGGTGGGGGCGCCTGGCCAGGGTGCCCAGCACACAGAAGACAGTGAGACAGTGAACGTGCAGAGGTCAGAGGGCACCCGCACCAAGCACAGCAGGACTCTCCTGCTTCTGGGAGGCACTGTCCCCCCAGCACATGACTGGGCCTCTGAGGCCCCAATTTTCCTTTTCACAAAAATATGAGATTTGACCTTGAAGGGAGGTCGAAGGTGCCAGTGAGCCGTCGCTCCACAGCACCCTGTGTCTGCCTGCACCCTGGGGCAGTAACTGAGCCCTGTCATGCCGCCAGTGCAGCCAGCACTCTGGTCCCAGCAGTCTAGCACACTAGCATGAGACTGCGCTGAATCCCGCCGGCCAAGACCCCACCAGCCTCCCGCCTCCTGCCGCCCGGGGCCAACCTCACCTGAGCAGTTTTGCTTTGCTCTGAAGTGAATTAAGAACCTCAATTTTCTTGTTCATGGCAGCGATTTCCTGTTCCAAGTTCTCCCGGGTGACGTCAACTTGCTGGCACAGATGAGCAAAGGTCCCGGACAGCTCCCTGTGGGGGACACAGATCAGCCGGGCCCCAGGGCCACGGTGCACAAGGTCCTCGGGAGCTTGAACCCACCCAGAGAGGGGTGGCAGCGGCAGCTGGCCCTTCCATTCTTGCTGGGGGCTCTGCCCTATGCCAGGCCTGGTCTGGCAGGGTCCTCCCTGCAACAACCAGGCTGTGCATGCTGGGCGTCACACAGAACAGTGCCCGGCACGGGCATGAGAACCAGGATTAGACTCTGGCTCTGCTGTCAGCTGAGGAGATGAGCAATGACTCTTCTCCTTTCAATCACTTATTTTGTAAAAGTGACTGACAATCAAAAGTCTACCTTTAAGGGCTGGCTAAGAAAAAGAAAACTCAGATGCAGGACACCTAGCAAAGGGCCAGTCACACTCTAAACAGGGCAGTCAGGGCCGACACCTTCACGTCCCACCCATCAGGCAGCCCATCCCCGTCAGCCTCAGACGTGCCAGGAGGAACGAGCCGTGGCACAGAATTTCAAAGCCAAGTCTACACCCTGCAAGACAAGCCTCCAATGCTGTCCGACCTCTCCCGGGCCTTCTTCCTTGGGGGCCAGAGGCCTGCCCAGCACACGCTGTCCCTAGCCTGGCCCCAATGCTGGCACTGCACAGCCAAGGCCACGGTCGTGATGGTTTCCAGGTGGGCTGAGAAGAGAGGTGGGGCCGAGCCACCCGAGGAAGGCCTGAGCGCAGGAGCCAGCGAGCCCAGGGCCAACAGGCCACTCACTGCTGGACTTGGTGGCTGCAGTTGGAGCCCGTGTAGCTGATGATGAGCTGCAGCTTCTCGCTGGCATACTCCACAAACTGGCGCTTGAAGGCCCTCTCCTTGGCCTTGGTGGTCCAGGTCAGACGCTCGTAGACGTAGAGGAGGCCGTAGAGCCCAAAGGACAGGGCGATGAGCCGCCAGCCCACTGCCTTCCACACCTGCAGAGACAGCGTCAGGGAGCCTCTCCCATCGTGCTTCCTGTCCACACGGCCCTGACGCTCCAGGGGTGACCCAAGGCCCCATCTGAGAGCCTGCATAGCACCTTCTAGACAGAACACCTGTTTTGCTGCCTCCTTTGAACCCACGGAGGCCAGGAAGTCAGAGATCTGCACTAGCTGGAGCTGCAGTGGGCCACAGGTCCTGAACTGAGGGACGTGGGCATGCAGAATTCTGAGAGAAATGCCGCATCTCCTGAAGCAACAGTCACACAGGGGCCACTCACAAGCAGAACCCCACACGCTCCTCCTTGGCAGCTGGTTTTTCTCGTCTGATTGGCCACGCTTGGGCCGAAGCCATGAGTGCAGTTCCAGCCAGAAAGCACTGGACTCAGAGCAAGACTGAGGCACCTGCCATCTAGGGTGTGTGTCTCCCCGAGTTTCCACACACCTGTTTCCTCCCAAGCAGGCAAAGTGGCCTCCACCTAACTCCCAGGGCTGCTGGGATGGAACAAGAGACTGCCCGTCACTGCTACGCATCGGCGTCTCAGCAAATGACCTCGGCCAGCTCGAGGTTCACATGAAAGAACCAGAGCGCTGTCTGCAAACCAAGGGAGAGGGCCTCGGCTGTGCCCACTCCAGTCAGACGAGGGAGGCGGCCCTGGCCCTTTGGTTAGGGTCACATCCTGCCACCCTCACACACCCAATGGCCGTGACAGAGCTAACTTGCTCACCTTGAAAGGCTCAAGGCGTAAGCTACTGTCTCTAGTGTGGCCTGGACAGGAAGTGGAACAGCCCAGTTATCAAGAGAGCCATCTCAGGCCTCAGGTAGCGAGCAAGACACCGAAAGCAGCAGGCGGAGAGAAGAGGGGTCAAGCCTCACGTGGCCTCTTTTTGTCTAAAGTCCTGAAAGTTTTGCTCTGTTTTCTCATCCACAATGAGAACTCCTGGCCGTGCCCACCTCTCAGAGCCAGGCTTGTGGATTTCTCAGGTCAGTCTCTTGCTCATCACCTGGTATAGGCCCACAGGAAAGAGACCAGGGCCTTCAGAGCAGACAAAGCCAGGGTCCAAATTCTAACCGTGTGCAACCAGAGAGGCTGCCTGTGAAGTGGGAGCGGTGCTACCTGGAGGTCAGGTTACATGGGCAGGTGGCAGAGGACGAAAGCCGCGTCCCACGAGAGCGCGTGGGTGGGAAAGGTGCTGAGGGATGTGAAGGCTACTGAAGGGCTGGCAAGTGCAGGGAACCCCCAGAACTGGGCCACCCAGCCCTGACCCTCCCCCAGCAGGGCTTGTCACTGACCACGCCACCAACGACGAGAATGCCCATGGAGGTCCTGGACGTCAGGGAGGCCAGGCCAGTGACCATGGAAACCATGAGCTCTTCCTGCGTGAGTGAGCCCTGGGGCAGGGGCGGCATGCTGGGGTTGGCGGGCGTCAGCGGCATGGGACGCTGAACCTGCAGAGAAACAGGCGGAGGGTGAGGACGACGCGGCCGGCACCCCTGCACTCTTGCACCCCAGCACTCCTGTAACACCTCAGCGACCCTCAGGGCTAGGAATCCTGCAACAGGTCACAGCGAGTGACTCTGGATTCCGAAGGGAAACCGAAAAAGGGGAAAATGCGTGTAGCTGCTCGACAGACCCAAAGGGGGCGCCGGGGAGACCGAAGGCGCGCGAGCGGCCTGCAGGCTCAGCAGCCCCAGGGTCGGCCGCGGGCGAGCACCGGGCACACGGCCTTCACGTGGCACAGAGGCTGGAGTTTGACGCCTGAATTTTAAAACGCGCCCTGCAGCAGTAGCGGGACACATTCCGTCAGCAGCTATGTTTCCTCGTTACACAACTCCCTATGCGCCAGAGACACAGGGCTGGCACTTGTAACTTCACCAATACCAGTGCTTGGCATGAGGCCAGGTTGCTTTGTGGCCCAAACCGTGACCAGGGTGCAGTGCTCCGGACGGCGGGGAGGCCTGCAGAAGTCACGTGCCAGAGGCAGGGGAGCTGCGCTCGACGCCCGAGGGCGAGGGACTAGCTTGCCTGGTCGTTATAGCCCATCAGGGCCCGGCGCGTGTTCTTGGGGCCCAGGAACCTGTTCACCAGCATGGTCCACCCGAGGGAGAAGTGGAACTCAATGTCCTCCTGGAAGTCTGCACACAGCTTATCACAGTTCAGGTCGTAGCTGAGGGAGAAGCACTGCCGAGGGGCCAGCACGTCTATCTGACTCCGCACGGCGGCAGGAAGGAGGGGCTTCAAGCCGTCTGTCGGGAAGGGAATGGGGGGACAGCACATCAGCTCAGGCCCGGGCACGGCAGTGCCAGCTCTCTGAGCGGGGCCAAGCCAGCTGCAGCCAAGACGCTGGCAGCCCGGCCAGGGGGCCCGCGCTCGGGCAGGCAGCCAGCTCGCCTCGGGCTGCACAGGCTCAGGGTCCACACCCAGCATGCTGGCCTCGTGGGGTTTAAGGGAAGGCCAGCGTCGCCGCCTCTGGCGGCCGTGGTAACGCACGCCAGTTTATCTGTGCAGTGAACCCGTGACATCGGCCCAGGACCTACAAGTATCGAGTTGACTCAAAAGGTGACAGATAATGAAAAGCCATTTTTCTGCAGAACGGCCTCCAGCCGGTCTGTGGGCAGCCGGGCGCTTGGGCCCCAGCCCGACGTGGACTGACCTATCATCTCCTGCTGCATGGTCTGCAGGGAGCTGGTGACGGCTGTGGAGCAGCGGTCAGACATGTTGCGGCCCAGCCCTTCCTCGACGTGGCGATGCAGCTCCTGCAACCAGCACAGAGCGGTCAGAGGCAGCAGTACCCCGAGTTTCTTTTAGGGACCAAGGCTGAGGAGGCCTCAAGGTTGGTCAGCCATGTCCCCCAGACCAGAGGTCCTGAATCACTATCCGCTGGGGGAGTCTACCCAGCAGCCTAAAGGAATTGGGGGGGAGGGGAGGCAGAGGGCTGCCAAGAGCTTCTACTGCTCACTGACTCACATTCTTATACACCTTGAGGACAACTGGGGAAGGGTGGAAATCCATCTGGTACTCGTCCACCAGCACAGAGAGGCGCCTGATCTCCTCGGCCATCGCCGTGGACACCTGCAGCGGGAGGAAACGCAGCTGCTGGACCTCAAGAGGAATGTGGTGGGCCTCCCTGGTGGTGCAGGGGTCAAAGACAGTGCTATGAAACTGTCGACAGCCCCTGCAGCACGAGTTCGATCCCCGGCCAGGGAGTGACCGCCAGGGCACAGCAGACCCCTCCTGTCTCCCCGCTGCTCCCCTCAGCAGTGTGTCTCAGTAGATCCACCTGTTCTGCTCCCCACTGTCTCTGGTGAACCTGCTCATCCCCCGTATCTCTGGCCTGCACCCCTGTTCTTGTGTGCATAGATACATCTTTAACAGAAGATCATGGGGTTGCACCAGGGGAATGGTGGGGACCCCAGCCCCCTGGACTCCCCCTCTGACCAGCGGCACTCTCAGCGGATGGAGTGTATGGTTTTGAGGGATGTCAGACTCACCCTAGGTGAGGAGGGGGCCAAGCGGGGAGCGGGGGAGCTTGCGGGGCTCTGCGTGCGTCACCGGCTGATACCTTGCTCCTGGAAGGCTGGGGTGGCCCTGCGAGGGGGCTGTCTGCTTTCTCACTTTAGCACCCCAACTCGCCTCTGCAGCCGCTTCCCCCAGGCCTCACCTGCCTTTCGACCTCCTCCGTTATCTGCTTGATCCGAAGTTTGTAGTCCTGCGCCAGGAGCTCCAGCTGTTTGTCGATGAACCGCAGTCGCTCCTGCCGTTCTTCACGCATGTCCAGGCAGTAAACCCTGAAAGAAAGCGCCGCTGGAGACTCGGCTCCCCTCACCGAGCACACCCAGAGCACGGCCACAGTCACCTGTGAGGAACGGCAGTGATACTGGACCAGCAGCCGAAGAGTCAAAGGGTGCTTAGCACTTTTTCCTTGTTTTACTTTAACTTTTAGAGTAACAGAGAGCAAGCACGGTCGGCTGTGTGTGGTGGAAGCGAGGTGGTCTTATACTGTCTGCTGTACCTTCCTACATTTTAATTTTTCCAAAAAGTCTGCTTCCTTTCCTTTATGTGTTTTGCCTCAGGCTCTGAGAAGGCTGGGCCGAGGCGGCCCACACAGGCTGTGCAGGCGACACATGGGGCCGTGACCAGGAAGCAGAGGGGCACCCACGGCCTCCTTAGCAGGTGGCTTCAGGGCACCTCGCATGGCCTGCTGGGAACCCAGAGATGCACGCTGTGGCAGGCCCCAAGCCCGGCCCCCTCAGCCCGGGGCTGGCATCTCCCAGCACCGCCTCTGCCCGCCCAGCCTCCAGTTCTTACCGCTGCTCCTGAGCAGCGATGTGCAGAGAGTCCATGATGAGGCGAACCGCCTCGGCTATCTGCTTGGCCCGGACCGTGTGCTGCTCAAATTTGGTCTTTACTGCAGACTGGGAGATGCACTCCTGTAAGGACGAGAGGTGCTTGGAGGGAGAGCCACCAGAGGTCGCCAGGCCGGGGCTCTGGCTCTCACTGCCAGGACATGCCGGCGAGCACTGGGTAGGCACAGAACCAGCAGCTTCCAGAATCAATGACTCACCTCAAACCTCCTCTCAAAATTCTGAAACTCAAACATCCTCACTTGAAAGCCTTCGGCCAGAGCGCCTCCTAGGAGAATTGCACCACGTTAGTCTATACACAACTGCAAGAAAATGGTGAAAAAAACCCCTAAGCCAAGTTATCTGGCCACTCGGCGGGGAAGCACGGGCTCTCCCTCAGAACCTCTCCCCACCGGCTGACCTAGCGCCAGGCCCAGTGACTCAAACCCCCAGGAAAGGCGCACAGAGCGCGTCCCATGTCACCTCCTTCAGGCATGCCCTGGGCCTTCTGGATCCTGGCATTGAGCACCTCCTTGGCAGACACAAAGAAGATGCGGTCTCCAGCCTGGCCGCGATCCACCACACCCAGCTCATCCACCAGGAAGCTGGTGCAACGCTCCATATGCTGCCGCCGCACCTGCAACCCAAGCAGAGGAACGGATGGGGCCGGGGTGGGGTGCAGGTGGGCCCCCGTGCCTCTTTTCTGAAGAGCAGGTAGCACGCAGTGCGCCCCATTTCCCCGTACACCTCCTCTGTTCTTAGCCATCAGCACCCAGGACCGAAGTCATGGGGGTTTCCTAGGGTGCAGCAGGATAGTTCATTTCCATTCGAGCAGAAACACCCAAACGCACCCCCAGCCGCCTCCTGTTAAAGAGTCTATGCAGCATTTCACTCTGCGGGCCAGAAAAAGGCGCCTGGGGGCAAGACCTCGGCCTGGCCCTCACCCCACAGCCAAGGGCCCCAGGGCTGGACGGTGCACAGGCACCACCAGGAAACCCTCCCGGCCCTGAAGTCCCTCGTCCCACCCCTAGAACCAAAAGCTGCTAACAGCCAGCTGTGGACGTGCCCCAGGCCGGCACTTTCCTCAGTGTCAACAGACTTCGTCCTCGCGAGAACCCTACCGCATTCCTCTCACAGGAGACGAAGTCGGATTTCCAGAAGGGCTGAGGAGCCAGCCAGAACCCCCCGCCCTGCCCGCTGGCTGCATTCCGTGTCATCCACTGTCACCGCCTGTCACCCCTTTCACTTTCATTTCACACAGAAAGAAATTTGACGTGTCAGTCAGACGATTACTCAGCACTCCTCTCTCAACCTCTCCTGCGTCTCTTCCTAAGGGGGAGCCTGCTCTAGGGTGAATTTTTAGGAACCAAAGTGAGCAGGAGCCCTAGGGGATGTGCTAGGGAGTTTTGACGGCCGGGATGCAAGTTCTCACAGAGCGGAAGACACAGGAGAAGGATCGGGAGGAATGCCGACAGGAAGCGTTTATAAAGCCATCGGGCGACCCCAATGGCTGGGGACATCTGCAGAGAAGCTCGCTCTGGAGAGGCACGTGCCCCGCTGTGGGGCGTGCCAACAATCAGCAGGCACCCACCTCCTCCATGTACTCAGGCTCCGAGGCAGACGCATCCCAGCGGTTGTTCAGGATGAAGATGTTTGGGCGGGACAGGCGCTCGCTCACCTTGTGGAAGAACTGCTTTTCCTGTCAGGGAGAAAGACCACGGTGGAGGCGGGGCCTTGCCAGCCGCGGCGGCCCCGGGAGCACGGAGCAGGACGCAGCGGGGGTTACCGTCTGCATGAGGGTGGACTCCGAGTTGGCCACCAGCACAAACACGTCAGCATCCAGGCAAAACTTGTCAATCCAGCTGTCCAGCTCTGTGGTCACATCGATGCCGGGGCTAGGGGCGAGGGGCAAACACGCAGTGGGTAGGCACAGCCTGGCCCTCTCCCCGCTGTCAGCGACCTGAGGCAGCCAGGCCACGGCGGGGAAACCTCGCCAAACGGGGGAGAGACTGGGCCTGGCCCGAAACGGGGATTTGACTTTTCACCTCACGAGCGTCCAGCTTGTGTGAAAATGTGCTTTTTGCCACGTGCATTTATCTATCAGTTTTACAAAAATCTGACTGGTCACTGCACTTTGGGAACGTGTAACTAGGGCCCATTTTGACTCATGTCAGTCCAGTATCGTACTCCCCAGTATCACCCTGTCCCCAAAGCAGGGTGACATGTTCCTTCGAAAAATAAACTACGACACAGACCCAGCTCCCCGACACACATGCTAACGCTGGGTTGAGGCTGAGAACTTTCCCGAATTTCCGTCCCGCCCACCCATCTACGACATCGCTGGGACGTCCTCATGCTGCTGGAGACGGGGCCCAGACCTGGAAGAAACCCAGGACGAGGGGTGTGCTGGAGCCAGCGTTCAGCAGAGCAGTGCCAGGGCCGGGGCTGCACCGGACACACAGAGAGGGAGGCCTGGTGCCCGTGAGGCGCCCTGCGGAGGTGCGTCCCCTTACCTGTCCATCAGCACGAGGTCATCCTTCAGCAGTGGGCACTTGGAGTTGGGCCACATCACACTCACCAGGCTGCCGGCATGCAGCTGCTCGTCCTGGTGCAGCGCATGCGCCAGCTGGTTCACCGTCTGGCAGGGAAGGGAGGATTCGCGGCTGGGCTGCACCTCTGGCGCAGGGGCCTGAGGCCGCGGCCAACCTGGGGCTCCTTTCTTTCATGTCTCCCTTAAGCAGAGCTGGGAGCTGCTGTAAGAATCAGCTGATCTTTGCTCCTCTTTTAAACTTTTTCTTGAATGTCACCCTACAGCTGGGCACGTTCTGCATTCACACCTCATGGACCGAAATGAGCCCCAGAGGATGTGTCGGTCACAGGCCTGGGGAGCGGCCTCAGAGAAGGCCCGAGAAAGGGGAGGAGGGCAGGTGTGCGGCTGGCAGTGCACCAGGGCATCTCCTGCTCTGGAGTCCGGTGCCCCCTTGAGGCGCCACAGCTCCTAACTGCCAGGTCAGAACAGGGTCCCTGAGTTCTAGCACAGGTCCCCCCAGAGGGCCCTGCCCTGAAGGCTGTGCTGGTGGTCAAGGGGCTGGGCCCCCACAGCGCCCTCACCTTGACGCTCCTCTTCTCCTCAGAGCCGTCTGTGAGGAGGAAGGCCTCGTGGCCGTCCGTGCCCTCCACCCGCAGGAAGCAGTTGGTGGTGTGGCCAATGCCAGAGGGCAGGACCTTGTCCCAGAGCATGGCGTTGATCACTGTGCTCTTCCCGTTGCTCGTCCTGCGGGGACACACAGCTGGGCAGGGGCACTAACACCCTAGTCTGAGGCTCCCTGGAGGTTCCCGCCCTGGAAGAACAAAGCCTGGTCTCGGCAGCGACATCTGTACCCAGGCATGCAGAAAGTGGGTGGAGAGACACCCCAGGCCCGGGCCTGGCATGTGCTCTGGCCATCACCACCAATGACCTGCACGCGCCCCTCAGTCTCAGTGAGCACATGACTGTCCCTGCCTTCTCCCGGCGTGCGCCCCCTCACACACAAAGCCCCACACCGGGTGACCGCCTGCCACAGGCGCCCGCTGCAGCATTCTAGATCACACCCTCTCCTCAGCAGGCTCTCTGTCCTAGCTGCTGCTCACAAGCAAGGGCCACACCTCTGAGGTGAAGATGAAGCAACGGCAGCCAGAGACACTGAGGCCACAGGTCACCGAGACCCGAGACACCGCCCTGCCCTTCAGTGACAACCGCACACACAGCACCCAACCTGTCCAGACACCTGTTGTTAAAGGTGTGGTGATGTTCTGGTCTCTCTTCCAGTTCCTGGCACAGGGTGCCTCAAATCCTTGGAATTCCCTCAGGGGTGGGGTCTCTTCTCATTCCTAAGGTATCCCCTTTGAGCATGCCATTTGTGAAACAGGCAACTCAAGGGGGGGGGCCCCAGAGAGCCCAGGGGAGGGACTGGTCAGCAGAAAGACCAGTGACCAGAGGACTGGAACCTTCAGCTCCATCCACCAACTCTCAGAGAAAAGAAAGGGCCAAAGACGAAGCTCCGATGGATGCTTGAACACAGATGTGACAAGTTTTGGAGTTGCTGAAGGCATCACGTGAAGGAGGGGTGGCACACCCCAGTTCCACACACCCAGAAGCTCCTGCGTTCAGGACCCTGCTGCCGTCAGCCTCTCTGGCTGAACATCGGAGTCCCTCATACCGTTGTTGCCAATAAACCAGCCTTCCCCTGGCTCTGTGAGCCTTGCAAGCAAGTTAACTGAGCTCTAGTTGGGGTCATGAACCCTCCAATTTCTAGCCAGTCACTACAGAAGCACAGGTGACAGCCTGGACTTCTGAGTGGCAACGGAAGTGGGGGATGGGGACTCACTTGCAACTGAGTTCGATCCCCGGCCAGGGGAGTCACCCACATGGCGTGGCAGACCTCTCCTGACCCGCCCGCTGCTCCCCCTCAGCGATGGATTCCAGTAAACCTGCCTGTTCTGTTCCCCACTGTCTCTGGTGAATCTTCTCACCGCCCCCTACCCAGGACCTCTGGCCTGTACCCCAGTTCTGGATGTACAAATAAATCTTAAAGAAAAGACACCAAAATTACAGGCAGCAAAGTCTGGACAGACACAGAGGACTCCAGCAAAATGACAAACTTCTGCCCATCAAAGGACACATTCAGTGGAGTCCAAGGCCAGCCAGAGCGGGAGATGCGACCTACAAACCACATGTCTGATAAGGGTATACCCAGAGCCCAGAAAGACTTCCCACAGCTCGAAACAGCAAAAAACTTCTAAAAAGGCACACCAGTTGTCAAGCAGCACAGGAGACCCTCAGCGTCTGTCATCCGCAGGGCACTGCAAATACAGACCACCGGGAGTCATCATGCCCATGAGGAGGGGGGATAGCAAAAAAGCAGAGAGTGGGCTCTCCCTGGTGGTGCAACAGGTTAAAGCGCAGCACCGTGAAGCTTGCACAGTCGCTTCACCGTGAGTTCGATCCCGGCCCCAGAGGTGACCACATGGCCCGGCAGACCTCTCCTGACCAGCCTGCTCCCCTCAGCAGTGTACTTTGTCGATCTGCCTGTTCTGCTCCCCACTCTGTCTCTGGTGAATCCTCTCACCACCCTGTACCTCTGGCCTGTACCCCAGTTCTGTAGGCATAAACAAATAAATCTTAAAAAAACAACAACAACAGAACGCACGTGTTGGCTGCTAGAGCCCTTGTGCGCCCTGGGCCGTCACTAGGGAAACCAGGAAGGAGAAGACGGGGAGCTGTTCACCGGGCAAGCTTTGGTGTTGCCAGACGAGAACGTTCGAGAGAGGGACAGTGGCACAATGTGAACACCACTGACCTGGACACTCAGACTGGCCGAGACGTAAATTCCATGCCACGTGCGTTCACAATTCAAAACAATAAAGCAAGCAGGAGCGTGATGAGCGCTGAGGCGCGGCAGCTGCTCTCGACCTGGGGCGCTAATAACACTCTGACCCAGCCCTTCCCTGCCAGCCAGGAAGGAAGCAGGTGCGAGGGTCTCAAGACTCACCGGCCGAAAAATGCCACTTTCATGTGCCGCCGGGCCAGCACCTCGCTGATGCCGCGCACCTTGGAGAGGTAGCCCTTGACAGCCAGCACCTGCTCCTCTGTGGTAACCGGGTCCAGCTCTGCATTCCGGTGGGTGTCTAGGAGAGACAGGAAGCAGGTGGTCACGACGAGGCCGGGAGCTGCAGAGTCACCAGTCGGGAAGCAGCCGGCTCGGGGCGGGCTCCACAGCAGTGGCTGCTGTCACAGCTGGCGAGACAGGTCCAGGGCGGGACAATGCCAGGGCGGGAGGCGCTGGGTCCCACTCCCAGCTCTGCGACCTCAGGCAAACAAACCTGCCTGGGTCCTAGTTTCCTCGCCCTGAAAATGCAGGTGCCTACCTCCACGCTAAAGTCAATTCCAGCACACCACGTGCCAAGGATGGTGGCTGGCATGTGATGACTGCTCACTGCCATTTACTGGTGTCTATTTACTTACTAGATAACAAAGCTACTCTCGACAAAAGACAAAGTTCTCACTGCAACCACTTTTCAAACCCCTCTCATTCAACCCCCAAATCAGGTCAGACTTGAGCCTGGCTCAGAGGCGGCTCTTACCCACACTGGGCACCTTCCCAAGACCCTTCCTGGTCAGACCCAGGCCACCTCCTGCCTCACACGCTCCACTGCCCCACCCCACAGGCGCCACGCTGCCTCATCACCTGGGTTTCCCTCAGCGCTGCCGTCACCTCACCCCACACGCCGCTCACTCTCTCTTAGCCTCTGGTCTAGCCTGGAGTCAACTGCCCCTAGGAAGTTTTTCTGGCCCTCAACGAGAGTCAGGCCCTTGTCTGGGCTCCTCAGTACTGGCCTCGCCCAGTGGAAGCCTCTAGCTCGCTGCCTGCGGCACACTGTCCCGTCCCAGCAGGCAGCAGGGTACCTGCTATGCCAGCAGATACTGGGGTCACTGCATGGCTGTGTCCTTGGGCTCTTGACCAGCAGACAACAAGTTATCCCAGGTGGAGGAAAATGGGCAGACTCTAGCCCTCCCATCCAGGACGTGTGCCAGGAAGGTGCACAGCTGGCTGCAGAGTAAGCGGGACTCACCCCTTAGCTCACACGAGTGCCCAGGGCCGTGTCCTCCCATGTGACAGCTGATGGGATGACGGCACTTGAGCGCCTGGGCCTGCAGTGCTTTGGGCCCGCCAGTGGAGCGCTCACAGCTGGGGTCAGTGTCCCCGCCAGCTCTCAGCCCTGCGGTTACACGTGAGGCCACAGAACGGTCCAGCCCAGGAAGCGCGCGCTGACACGGTGCCTGCTGGATCTAGACCGGACACCCTCCACGACTGAGCAATAAAGCTGTCGCTTACAGGCTGCCTCGTCTACTCTGGTTAGAGCAGCCCAAAGGACCAAAACACTTGCAAACCACCGGGAGGACGCTCTCAAAGCCCCGGGCACGAGAGGCATTGCAGTGCCGGCCTGTCACCAGCCCTGCAGCCGGTGCCATGAGAGGAAGGGACCAAGGCCGCCCCACATCCACCTGACGCCCTGCCCAGGGGCAGCAGTATTCCTCTCTTGCTGGGCACGTGGGTGTGGCCATCGAATGTACTCCAAGGGAGCTGGCTCAGTCACGTGACTACATCAAATGAAACAGCCAGAAGGCCGACAAGCTCTCCCCAGTCTTTTCGAGAACAGTCCCAGGCAGTACCTATCCCCTCCCCCAGCCAGAGCCATCCCAAGCATTTGCTGACGACACTACTCCTCTGTCAGCCCCAACAGGAGAGGCCTCCTGCTTCCCAAGGGAAGCGCCACCACACCACCCTCACGAATTCCTGCTGGTCTCCAGCGCTATCCAGTGCGGAGGCACCACGCAGGGCTGGGCTGGGCTGGGCTCTGGGGTACGGCCTGGCCTGCCCCCTCTCCGCAGGCCCAGCGCCTGCCCAACCGGGCTCTGATCACTGAATGGGTAGTGACCTGGCATGCCAACTCCAGCTCTGTAACTTCAGAATCTGGATTTGGAAGTCTCGTCTCTAGGGCGCACCTCCTCTCGCCACAGCGCCAGGCCCGGGGAGGGCGCGCAGCCTTAGCCTGTCTGGCCGCCGTAGCCAAACACCACAGACTGCAGTGGAGGCTTACAGGCAGCAGCAGGGCTCCGCGCACAGCTGGGATCAGGGCGCCAGCCTGGCAGGGTGAAGGTCCCCCAGGCTCGGACTTCCCTTGCGACCTCATGTGGCAGAGGAGAGCTGGGGGCTGATGGGGTCTTTCCCCCAAGGCACCGTCTTTCACGAGGCCTCATCCTCATGGCCTAGCACCGCCACTCACCGTCGCGGTGGGCCTTCCATTCAGCCTGAGGACTTGGGTGACACACACTCAGCCCCGGGCAAACTCTTCCTGCAACGGCAGCCTCGTCTAGCCGCCCAGTACGTGGCGCACCCAAAGCCCCGCTGCTCTGGCGGGAACAAGTGGGTCTGTGTGGCCGCGCCACTGAACTCCTCACGTTCTGCAGACTTGAACTTGGAAATCTTTGCTTTTACCTGGGCCCTTCTTGTACAGGTGAAGGAACCAAGGGCCGAAAAGACTCGGCTTCTGGGTCTCACTGACCATCTCCAGGGAGCATTCTGGAGAGGAAGCCTGAGAAAGCTGGCACTGGATCGTGAGGGCCCAGAGAACCACCCCCACGCTGACAGGGCAGGGACAAGAGGCCGGCTCGAATTAGCAACATGCGGAGAGGCGTGGGTGACGCCAGTCTCCTATTCACAGTCCTGTCTGTAGCCAACCTAAAAATATCAGACAGAACACCCTGGTCAGGGACGACCAGCTCCTCAGGCCTGGTGTCAAGGAAAACACCTGTGCTCTGCGTCAGCGGCACCTGGGTAAAGCCCAGCGGAGCCAACAATCTTCACGACCAGAGAGCACAGAACATGTGGGATTCTTAAATGACAGGCTCTTGCTTTTCTGGCCTGACCCCCTGGAGCCCAGGGCCACAAGACCCTGAGAACAGGGCTGTGCCTCCCACCCGCAAGTCCTGCCACCTCAGTAAGTATCCAAACTGAGGCGGGGCCTGGCCAGCAGGCCGCCCATCTCACCTTCGAGGAAGGCGGCGCTCTCCTGAATGTAGGCCCCGAGCTGTTCAAAAATGCCATTGATCTTCTTCTTGGCAGTGACGAAGTGCTTGAGCGGAGAGGCGTTCACCTCGGCCATGTGTCTCTTATCCTTCTTGACCGCGACGATGGAGTTGCATCGGGAGAAGAGCAGGGACATTGCGCTGCAAGAGAAGAGCACAAGAGTGAAGCGGAGCAGCCAGCTGGGTGTCCCTGAGGGGTGTAGCAGGGTGCAGCGGGGGACTGGGACCAGCTCTAGGGTCCACCAAGAACACGGGACTCTCCAGGACTAGATCGGGGGTTACAAGATAAGAGCCAGCATCTCAAGACAGGAAGGGACCTCTGAGAACACACCCCAGCCCCCATCACCAGCGTGGGCACCCAGACGCCGTGGCAGGACGCTCAGGCCAGGCCAGCGCGGCGGTCCCCTGTCTGTGAACTGTGACAGGCCCTGCCGTGTACCTCACAACAGGGAGGACGACCAGGTCACACACAGAGAAGCCTTCCACTGAGTCTTAGGCAGAAAAGCATGTCAGACACCCCCTTTACTTCCTGTACCTCACCCGCCTGAGAAAAAGCAGCGAATAGTGAAAGCCAAGAGATGTTCAAGGCCAGCTGACTTTCCCCATCCTCCCCTGCTGTCCAGGTCCCCGGGGCCCTCATTCCTAACAGGCTTTGGTTTTTGTTTTGGTAGGAAGTGAACAAGGCAGGCTGATCCTCGAGGAGGAGAGACCTAATTCTACAGCTGACTTAAAAAATTTTGGAAAGGGCCCTCCCTAGTGGTGCAACACATTAAAGTCGCAGCTCTTCAGCACGAATTCGACCCCCACATGGTATGGCAGACCTCTCGTGGCCCGCCCGCTGCTCCCCTCAGCAATGTACTTCGTCGATCTGCCTGTCCTGCTCCCCGCTCTGCCTCTGGTAAAGCCTCTCACCACCCCTGAGCCTCTGCCCCAGCTCTGTATGCATCAATAAATAAATCTTTAAAAAATAAAAACTGGTGCTCTTTCATTATAAATGTGTGCACCGTAGCAACTTTGGAAGCGGTAAGGAAAAAATCCAAAATCCCGCCATTCTGAGAGAAGCACTGTTAACGCTTGTGTAGAGCCACAGTCTGCTTTCCTGAGTGAGGGTGGCTGTCCTGCCCTCAACCACACACATTTAGCCAATTTTCTTCAAGTAGCAAGAACACCCTGGGGCCTGTGAGACGGGACTGCACAGTCCCAGAGATCTTTAGTCAAAGCCAAGGAGACAGACCAGAAAGGTGGCACCCAGGTGTGGCTTGCAAGTCCCTAGTCCCAGAGGCGACCCTGGACAAAGCTGCTTTCTGGACAGGGCCCGTACATTCCAGAAGCCAAAGATGAAAGGAGCCCGAGGATGGGGGGTGGGGTGTGCATGGCTGGTGCCTGGCTCTACCCTCTCCGACACTCCCCAGATTCCTAACACAGCAGCTCCATCTCTCCACCTGACCCGCTCTGGGAGACAGGCGCAGCTCAGGAGCAAGCACACACAGACGCCTCCAATGAGGGGCGCTCCCTGGTGAGGCAACAGTTTAGTGCAGCACTAAGAAGCTGTCCACAGCCACTGCAGCAGGAGTTCCAGCCCCAACCAGGGAGTGACCCCCAGGGTGCAGCAGACCGCTCCTGTCTCCTCGCTGCTCCCCTCAGCAGTGTACTTCGTCCATCTGCCTGTTCTGTTCCTCACTCTGTCTCTGGTGAATCCCCTCACTGCCCCCACACCTCTGGCCTGTACCCTAGTTCTGTCTGCGTAAATTTTTAAAAAGAAACCTCCAGCCCTCCCTGGTGGCGCAGCGGGTTAAAGCACAGCACAAAGAAGCTAAAGCCACTTCCGCATGAGTTCGATCCCCGCCTGCCCCGGAGGTGACCACATGGCGCGGCAGACCTCTCCTGACCCGCCTGCTGCTCCCCTCAGCAGTGTACTTCATCAATCTGCCTGTTCTGTTCCCCACTCTGTCTCTGGTGAAGCCTCTCACTGCCCCTGAGCTTCTGGTCTGTACCCCAGTTCTGTATGCACAAATAAATAAATCTTTAAAAAAAAAAAAAAAAGAAACCTCCAATGAGCACTGTTAAGTTTCCATGAAGGAGAAAGAACATCTGGAAAAAGTGCACAGTTACTGAAATCTGGCTCTTCGGAGCTGACCACCCCAAAGAGTAGGCAGGACAGACCACAGGCAAACGGGAATCCACATATTTGCCTAAATCTACAAATCATTTTGTGACCTTAAGGCTTTCTGGGGAGGAGTGACCATATGTCCATATCTTCTTTCCTCCTCGGCAAAATGCCACAACTGGGAGGTTTTCTTAGCGGGGAAGCCCTGCTTTAATAGGGCTGGGCTGAAGTACGAAAGACAGCAGACATCTGAGAGGGCTCGGGGAAGTCCACTGGGTCCTCCAAAGCAGCAAAGGAGAGTCGGCAGAGCCAGGCTGCCGTGGCCCAGCAGGTAAGAGTCTCACAGAGAGGACGGAGCAGCCGCACAGGGAGCCAGCGACAGGAGGCGAGGCCTGGGAAGGGCCCATGCAGCCCACAGATGCGGTTGTGGGTCAGGGCTGGGCTCAAAAGGCGACGGTGCTACTCCGGGGCTTGATAAACCCCAGCACAGCAGTTAACTTCAGAACCTGAGATTCGACATGTGTGCAAGGGGCCACTGTGAGAAAACCAGAACCACCACCAGTGGGGTGCTCGAGCACAGCCTAGCCCAAAGGCAGCGTGACAGGGCACAAGGCAGCAGCAGCAGGAAACCGCCGGCACCCGACTCGCCCCAAGAACGCCCAGCCCGCGGGGAAGTGCAGAGGCAACTCCCCTGGCATGCCCACAGCTCCCCACCCACAGCTCCCCGCCCATTGCCACCGGGTGGAATAAAGTCTGCTCAGGGGTGAGGATCAGCAGCACCCAGTGCCAGAGGTGACTTGCTTGAAGGTAGCACATTTGCAGAGCAGCTGGGCTTTGGCAAGCAAATGCTTTTAAGTTCTGGGCACTGCAGCCCAAAGGGTGTGAACTGAAAGTCAGTGCTCAGCAAGGCACACACGCGTGCACCTCAGCGCCTCAAGGTTACAAGGTCTGCTGAGTCCAGCTGGTCCAGGATTCCAGTGCTATCTGACCACTGCCTGCGCCAAACCTCTTCCCTCTTATGAGGAACCCACCTCCCATCAGCCCCTCCAAACTGTCTGTTCTCTCCGGCCCTGTTAATACCCAAGCCAAGACTGGCTTGTGCCGTACATGCTGCTTCCAGTCTGGAACTTTCTTTCCTTTTTGATCCACTTACTCCTACTGTCTTTATAGACACAACTGCTGAGTCACTGCCTCCAGGAAGTCTTCCCTGATGTCTCCACGGAGTACAACAACCCAGGCTGACTTCTGGTTTTCTATCACTCTGTCTCCCATCTAGAGTCCATGGCTGACAGAGCCCTGACTATTTCCATCTCTGCTTTCCTCATCCACAACCATGAGAATGTGAACGGGAATGCTTTATAGGGAGAATACCATCTTACCCTCTTTGTGTGCCCTGGAATACACAAAACCACTTTTTCTTAAAAAAAAAAAAAAAAAAAACTGCCTCTTCCCCGGCCCCCCGCCATCAATTTCCTAATAATTTGGAGCTCAATGAGTCAGACAGCTGAACAAACCTTCCAGATTCCAGAGAAAACTGGAGTATGTTATGTAGAGAAAAGGACCAACTTGCAAACTACACAGAAACAAGCCAAGACACAAGGGCCCGTTACTGTGGGGCTTTGCCTGCTGGCTTCCAACTCCTCCAAGGTGGTGGGAGGCCGCTGGGTTCCTGTTCCTCCGCTGGAAAGCTCTGCTAGTGCTCACCTCACCGCAGGACTCACTAGAGGGGGGCAAGGTGGTTCCGGCGCAGCTGGACCAGACCAGTCCAGCTCGAGGCCAGCTGTACACTAAGCAGCCTGCTTCAATCTGTCACGCCTATCACTCTGGAGGTCACAGGTTCAGAGTTCACAGCAGCATTTCCCCCAGGGTGATCCACAGAGCATCAGTGCACCCAAGCATCAAGGGCTTCATAGTAGACCAACTTGGAAAGCACCGTATCCAACACCCTCCACTTGTACCCTGTAAATGTTCTGGGAAGAAAGGCCAATTGCAAAGACATCCGTTTCATGCAGCATTTCACAAAGGCTGTGATTGACAGTTTTTAACCCTGAGGATCACATTTAGGAAAAGCCACTTTCATCCTGGTAGTCTTTCTCTCCCGCCCCATGAAATGCCAGGAGCACATTTTTAACATTTTTAACACCTGAAACAAACCCAGTTCTAAACCAAGACGGCTATTAGCACTCAGAGGTTATCACGCTCTTTGCCTCAGCCTAGGCTATTAGTCGAGGAGTATTAGCTGTTAGGGTGTAGGGATAGCAGCAGCAAAATTCACTGCATGGTGTGTTTGGATCCCAAGCACAGACCCTGAATCCACACCACCTCCTTACCCAGTTTTATGCACAGCAACTCCTAGCAGGGAAAATAAAATGGATCCACGGATCGTCTGCTGGCACAACTGGAACAGAGGAGAAGCTGAGAAATTGAAACAAAAGAGCATACAGGATAAAGGGAGCAGAGCAGGCTCTCAGAGGAACTGAGATAAGGAGTTGACCGCTGCGAGGCAGAGAGCGGGGGAAGAGCCGACACAGCAGAGGACAAGCAAGGGAAATGGAGACTAAATCTTCAGAGAACCCAGGAGCTCCCGCCACTTTCTGAACCATCGGCCTTTTTCTAGGATGCAGCAGAGAAATCCATGGAAGCAGAAAGGAGACACAGTATTTTTTCAACACAGGTAGGAAAAACGCCTGGCTCTGTGCAAAGATGACCATCCCAGAGACTGGCCACAGGACACTTCCCCTCTACCCAGATCCTGGGTGCCAGAGAGCACAGCCGCCACTTACTTTTTAGCTGCTGAGAGGCCTCACAGGGTAGGCATCGTGAACATGGCTGGAGTCAAAAAGATGAAAAGAATTTGAGTTCTCCTCTGTGCTGGCTCAAGTTGGGGTTGGCTACTGATTGTGTTGACTCCACCAGTTCTGACTTATTAGAAAGGAAAAGGGACATGTCAACAGACAGCAAAATAAATAAATACGTAATAACAAGCACACAAACCTGGTATGCAAAACATAGCTACTACAGTTTAAAGCCAAACAAGCATCCCTGCAGGAAACTTAGTCACTGAGCTACTAAGGTATGGGAGGAAATGTGCTGGGAAAAACAAACACACAGGTGTGGTGTAGGGTCAGCCTTGGGTGTGCACAAACCCACGTTCAGCCATGCGCTGGAGAGAAGCAGGGGTCCCCTTAAAGATACCTCCGAAGGGTGAGAGGAGAGGTGTGAGTAGAATCAGGGCAAGGACCAGGCTCAAGGATTGCAGAACTGAGCACTGGAAACAGGAGAGGGCAAGGGAAAAGAAGTCAAACTTGTTGAAGGCCTATGTGTATGGAAAATGCTGGAAAATAACTTAATTGTCAGTTCAATGGAGCAGCAGAGGCTTGGAATGCTTAAAAGATGTATAGACTGTTAGTTAACTGACCAGGCTGGGAACTGAAATACCATCTCTCCTGACTCCAAAGCGCACTTGTTTTCAATTAAGTGGAACTGCCTTACTCCAGCCTTGGAGGTGGAAAGGGCGGTAATCAGGGCCCTATCTGGGAGGAAAGCAAGAGAGAAGTTAAAGAAATAGGCAGTGAAGAATTACAAGAGAGGATGGGCAAGCATCTGAACAAGTAATGGTGCAACATTTTCCGTGTGCCCTCTGTGTGCGCTAGGCGATAGAGGTAGGGAAGAATAAGAAACAGTCCCCGCCCTCAAGGGCCGTACAGCCCAGTGAGACCACCGTCGGAGAGCGCAGGAAAGTGTCCCAAGTGGGGCTAGACCTGGGCAGGGCGCTACGATGGTGATGTGGAAGGCTATGATGTGTTGAAAAGATGCTGATACTTCCAGAGGGCTGGATGAGCAGCGGGAAAGAGGCAGGATGGGATGTGGCCGCGGAGACTGGGCAGGTGGGGAGGACATGAAGTATCAGGGGGACCCCCGGCCCCCAGCCGCAGTCGGACTCCCGCGTCCCGCCCCCTCCTCTCGGGGCCGCGAACGATCGGCGGCGCGGCCTAAACTTGGAGACGCCCGCCTTCCCGGACCCCTAAACCCCAGGGTCCCAGCGGGTCACCGGCCCACGCCAGGCTGCTCAAGATTCGCCAGAAAGAGCCGGGCGGATCCCCACCACCCCGAAGCGCTCGCCCTCTCACCTTCACCTTCCCGGCCTCGCCGCAGCCATCATACCGCCGACGTCACCAGCGAGCGCCACCCCGGGGAGAGGCGGGAGAAAGGTCGGGGTCTGCGCGCGTCACCAGCCGCCACAGGTCTGCCGCGCTGGCCTCGGGGAGACTGTGGACTCGGAACTCAGCCGTTCCCGCCCCACTGCTCCTGATGGGTCAAGGGTCCCGCGGCTCAGCGCCTGGAGAGGCGTCGCAGCGCGCTCGCCCGACTCCGGAGCGTCCCAAGCCGATGACGTAGAGCCTCGGGACTCACGCGGCATCATGGGAGCTGTAGTTCCGCCCCGCGCCCGTCAGGGCGGGGCGGGGCGGGGCCTCGAGCTGTCAAGGGGCAAAGAAAACAAGGGCGTGGATTAGCGGTTCCCGCTCTTTTTTTTGTTGCCCTAGAGCCTGACCTCCAAGCCTGTGCCAGCTCTGGAATTCAGGTTAGCGCTTGGTCACTTTAGAGAGCTCTCAGAGCCGCAGTCCGTTCGGGTGAGGTAACTCTCCAGAAAGACAGAAACAAGGGGGAGCGGCTGCCCTTCAACTGACTTTGAGGAAGTAAGAGCAGCAACAACCGCCACCCAGCCGGGCATCTCGCACACCTCGCTGTATTTAAGCTTCACAGCAGTCCCAGGAGGCGCAGAGGCGCGATTACTGCAGCTCTCGCACTAGGCAGATCGCTGGGCCTCATTATGTGCCAGGCACACACCTGCGGTTCACAGCCGTAAACAAGCTGCTGGTCTCAGCCACAGCCCGGGAGGCTCCAAGCCAGCTCGGCTACTGAGCCCCTGAACGCCGGCCAGTGCCGCCTGGGATGTGCTGAGTGGGGCTTGTACGCCAGGGAATGTGACCCAGTTTTCATATTGATTTCATAGCAATTGTATTTCTGTTGATTATTGGGCTATGTGGGGTAAATTAGGTGGTAATGAAATATAGCATTAAAACTAAGCCCACCTGTTTCTTTTTGCTGTTTAAAAGGTGACTACTGTTAAATAAAAGAGAAAGACGCAAAACCAATCGTGCCTCGTGCTAAGGCTCCCAGGTCACCAAACTGGGACTTAAGTACCTAACCTAATTGCAGGCTCAGCTTGCCCCAGCAATGTAGCCTTTAGTCAGGCGAGCTGGGACTTCCTGGTCAGCACCACAAGAGGACCCGCAGGAGAAACCACTTCCATCTGCCACAGGCAGGAGAATGAAGGTGACCTGGCCTGAAACAATTCTGTGTTCCTTTCCCCCTCCCTCCTTGCTAGTAAAGCCTCGACTCTCCCTTTGCTAATGGCTGCTGTCTGATCCATGAAGCAAAATTTGATCTTCAAAGTTAGCAGCTGATTTTTATTACTTAACACACGAAAAAATGCAAGGCTCCTTCTATTACAAAAAAAGAAACAGCAGGCCAAATGGAGTGATTTGTTTGTACCAAGTCCCACCAAAACTAATACCTCACCTATCGGCAGTTTCACCATCTCCCCAAAATGGAATTTTAAACCAATCAGTCTAGGATTTCCTGGTCAGCACTGCCGAGGGCATCTGCATGATTAGAACCCCCACCAAGAGAAGGTGGCTCTCCTCACAGTCTTTTTTGCTGTCCCACCCTCTTTTACAGGTTCTATACAAAACCTCTCTACTTAGTATAATTCCTTGCCACACCAATCTCCTTGCGCTGTGAGGATGCTACCCTATTAAGAATTATTTAATAAAGTGAATTAGATCTCCAAGTTTATTTGGATGGATTTCTAAGCAACTAAGGTGGTTTATAATAAGAAACATATCTGGCTCACTGTCCTTCACCCACTGTTCCTGGCACATAGCTCCTAAGTCCCCTGTGAGAAAGAGTCCTTTGGGTATTTTTTAATATTGAGCTTTGTCCTGAGTTCCTGGAATACTTCAGAGTTATTTAGATAAAGGTGAAATGGCTATCTTCTATTACTCATCAAAAGCCCTTCTGAACCACACCTGAGTGATGTGTAAATGAGGTGACTTTTGGCAAGTCCCCAAGAAGGGGCTGATGGGAGGTGGGAGGGTCATATCTGACAGTGGGGTAGGTCACTGTGGGGGAGAGGGGGTGTCCTGTGCATCCTAGAAATTGGCTTGATCACCAAGATTTGTTCAATCATGGCCAAATAATGGAACCTCCCTCAAAATCCCTGAAATTATCGATCTGGAGCCCCTCTGGGTGAAGCATGTGGGCAAGCGGAAAGGTGAGAGAGAGAGAGCAGGGGAGCATCGACCAGTCCCACATCCCTGCCCTCTGCTTTTCTTCCACCTGGCCGTCCCTCAGTTGGATCCTCTTACATAATCCGCCCCAGTGAGTTAGCCCAACCCAAGGAAGAGGGCGTGGGAATCTCCCATTTATTACCTGTGGGTCAGAAGGCTTTGCAGTGGGGACAGTCCTGTGAGACTGAGCCCTTACCCTGGGACATGACACTACCTGCAGCAGACAGGTAGAATTGAGAATTGAGTTAAATTGATAGGACACCTTTGCAACGTCCTCTGGGCATTGGAGATCAGCTTGGCGTGGGAGGAAATCCCACACCTTTGGTGACCAGGGGTGTCAGAAGTGGCATGCAATATGGAGCATGAAGGAAAACCATGCAGTTGACATAGGCCTCAGCTGTTTCACCTGAACAGCACAGCTCAATAACATGGGAGAATCTTGCCATAAAACACCTGAAGAGGTAAGCTGGTGCCCACTGAGCCGACTAGCTTATCGGAGACTGTCCAAGGGTGGCGTGCTGCCCTTCTGCCCCGAGTGACCTAGTGGCCTGAGAGGCTGACTCTGGACTATAGGGTCACACCCAGACGCTGCTCAGGGTGTGGCCGGACTGAGTGTGCCTTACACTGGGGGCTGTGACTCACTGTCTGTCTCCGCCAAGCTCACAGCCTCCCCGAGGGCAGACAACACAATTCCTTTGCCTCCTCTGAATTCCATTTCCTTTCCCTTCTTGGGCAATCGAAGACCAAGTCAAAGGCCTAGACTTGCTCCCTCTGCTCTCTGCCGGCTGCAGGAGCCTGCATCCCCTCAGCCCTCTGGTCTTGCTCTCCCAGCACCAGCCTTCCCTCTCTGAAGCAGCCTCCAGCCATGAGGCCTGACAACCCCCCCCCCCCACTACACACAAGTGGACTGTATAGGGGTGCAGGGCAGGGTTGGGGTGCAATGACAGACCTTTCTCCATTTCTTGTTTCTGACTTTTTCATGGCAGCAGGAATTGCATTTGATATCAGAAAAAGGTAGCAGTTAAAATAACCCTAAGTTGGACTATGGTGATGGCACATGGGTGATAGGGTGATGGGAAGCCCAAGGGGATTACAACAGAAATGGAAAAAGGCACAAAATGATGTGAAAACAAACTATTATTAAAATAAAAAAACGAAGTTGGGCCCTCCCCAGTGGCGCAGCGGGTTAAAGTGCAGCACCAAGAAGCTAAAGCCACTTCCGCATGAGTTCGATGCCCGCCCGCCCCGGAGGTGACCACATGGCACAGCAGACCCCTCATGACCTGCCCTCTGCTCCCCTCAGCAGTGTACTTCATCGATCGGCCTGTTCTGCTCCCCACTGTGTCTCTAGTGAAGCCTCTCACTGCCCCTGCACCTTTGGCCTGTACCCCAATTCTGTGTGCATAAATAAATCTTTAAAAAAAAACACCTCAAGTTGCTCATGCATCTACACACCATCCACTCAAAGAGACCAGGTGTGGTTGCTTCTGGGGAGAACTGGGCACCTGGGGTGACGGCTGGGAAAGGGATTAAGGTGTATACTGTTTGAACAGACTAGACCAGTTCAAAACCCAAAACCCAAAAACCCTACAAAATTATCTTTAAAATGCTCCACACCCCCTGCATGGCCCCAAACGCCTCCGAGATAGCCCAGCACTCCTCAGCCTGGGAAGATGAGGCTTCCCGACCTGACGCCGTGCCCCACCCACCCCAGGCAGCGGGCGCCCCTCACCCTGCCTGGGTCTCGCTGTGCCCACTCCAAGGCCAAGCTTCAGGGGCCTCCACAGGCAGGCTTCTCGGGGCCCACACTAGCGACATTTGGGGTGGGTCACTGTAGGGGAGCGGGGTGTCCTGTGCATTCTAGTGCACTTAGAACCATCCCTAGTGCCTAGACCTGGGATGCCAGGCGCACCCAGGGCCCCCGCCCCCCTTGTGACAACACCGTCAGGGCCGCAGTCCCCCTGCATTGAGTAACATTGCGTTGCAGCAGCCAGCAGGCCCCTTCATTCCCAGGACAGTGCCTGGTGCCCCTGTGTGTGGCATTTATCACGCTGGGCCACTGTGACCTGCGTGTGGCTCTTTCTACCCCGCTGCAGACTACAGGGCGCCCCAGGAGACCAGGAGTCTGGCAGGGCTACTCCCCACCCCTGCCACTCACTTGCGGTGTGAACTTTAAATACCCGGCCTCTCTCAGCCTGCTTTCTCCTGTCCAAAAGGGACGAACACCCCTTCCCCAGTACGCCGCGTTCCCTGTCATGGGCTACTGCCAGCCCACAGCAAGGGAGGGGTCCATGTGAGTCAGCCCTCGCTGGTCACTAACAAATGCTGGGTCTGTCCAGGGCACAGCAGGAGCCACCGGAAGGCTTCTATTCCCCCAAGTTCGCATCTGTAGGCAGATGGTCTGCAAAGGTTTCAGAGAGGAGGTGAAACCTGGTGAGGTCTTGAGAGGAAGCAGTTTGCCCTGGGCAGCCGGTGCTGGCTCACAGTGAGGACTGACAACACATGCAAGTGACACGAAGACCACCTGTGACTGGACTTAGTCACCCCAAGTCACCAAGTCTGCTGACACAGCCTTGCCTGGCCACCACGGGACCTCGCTCCAGACACTGCCCCATCAGGGGCACACTCGCCACCCATGCCACCTCCCACTCAGTGGTTTCAACGACCTTTAATAGAAACTTCCCTGTTTCTGACTGTCCCTCTCTCCAGAGGCATCTGGGCCAGGGTGTCACAGCACAGTGCGTGGACGTATCACCCCCACCCCCCAGAAAGGGTCAAGTAGAGGAGGCAACGTGGCAGTGAAACCTCCCTGGAGGTTTCCTCAGTCCCCATCTCCAGGGGGCATTTGGCTCTCGTGACAGACCCACAGAAAAGGGCCTTCCACAGTCCCAGGGCCAGGGAGGGAGTTGAGTCCAATCCAAGTGTGTGTGTCCACCCTGATCTTGAAGCAGAAGGTTCTGGGGCTGCAGTTCCGCCTGGGGACGCCCAGGAGGCAGCTGCTCACCCCTGGGGTCTCTCTGGGCCTCTGCAGACACCTTGCTCAAGCCTCAACCCAGACAAGAAGTGGAGGAAGAGAGCTGGGTCCCCCGCAAGGTGGGTGGGGAGACCGGTAGCTGCAAAGCAGTGACAGTGAACAGTGTTTCCCCAGCCGGTATTCAAGAGCATCAGAGAAGCCTCAGTTGAGGTGCACCTGTCTCTGGCTTGCGGCCGGCTGGGTGCGAACTCTCCAAGGCAACAGAAACTCTAAGAGCGGTGAGACATCAAGAGCCTGGAGACAGCTACAGGGGTTCCCTAGGGCCCTGAACCCCAGAGACTGCCGGGCAGTGATTGATTGTGGGCAGAGGAAAGGTCCGAGGTGGCTGGGTCCGGCCAATTAGGGATCGACGAAGGAGACAGCGATGTAGCGGGTGCCCTTGGTGGTGGGGAGCCCCTCGTGGTAGTGCGTGAGCCGTCCGGGGTGCATGAGGGTCCATCCCTTCCGTGGGGCGCGTATGGAACAGTTGTAACGCAGGAACCGACAGCCCCCACCCTGGGAGACAAGAAGTGTCAGTTCCCCACCAGCAAAGGGGCCTTCCCCCACCACCACCCATTCTCTCATCTGAGCCCCCTGAGCCAAGTAACCCTCAGCACAGCCCACCCAGGGAGACCTGTGGGGTGACAGCCAGAAGCTGCCCAAAAAAGACACTCAGCAACACTGAGTGATCGAGAGCCTTGGCGTCGGGGGGCCCTGGGCAACATCAGCTACACGTACCCTCTGCTAACTTCGCAACCAGCTGAACCTCAGTTTCCCCTTCTGGAAAATGGGCATTAAACTGCACAGCATTGTGGGAGTTAAATGAGGTGATACAAGTAAGCGCTTAGGGCCTGGTTTCTTGATCTCAGCACTATGGACATTTCCAGATGACTTTCCATTCTGTGGTCACAAGACCTATCAGGAATTCTACCAGCGTTGCCAAGTGTAAGGGTGTGTCAACCGTGCAAAGCGCCCTCAGGCTGTCAGGCAGGTAGGGATTGGCTTCATGGATCCCTGCATCACATCCACAGGGCAGACAACTCTTGTCGCGGGGGGCTGTCCCTGTTCACCAGATGCCAGTAGCAGCCTCATAGTTGGGGTAACCAAAAATGTTTTCAGATATTGCCAGAGTCCCCCAAGGAACAAAATCACCCCTACGGAGCCCTGGCATATTATAAACTCTTAATTTACAGCTGTTTTTACAGGTGTCCTTTACAGCACCTGGCAAAGTCGTGCTCCAAAAATCCCTTTAAACATTGTAGCTTAGGGCTCTCCCTAGTGGCAAGCACAGCACTACAAAGCTAGTCACTGCTGCTTCCACACGAATTTGATCCCTGGCCAGGGAGTGACCCCCAGGGCACAGCAGACCTCTCCTGTCTCCCCGCTGCTCCCCGCAGCAGTGTATTTCAGTAGATCTACCTGTTCTGCTCCCCACTCTGTCTCTGGGAATCCTCTCATACACCTTCCCCCCCCATACCTCTGGCCTGTACACCAGATCTTGTATGTATAAATAAATAAATCTTTTTTTTAAAGTCTTAATTTAAGAAAAAAAATGTCGCTTAAGGAAGGAACGAATAAATGAATACCCAGCTGCTGGGCTGGTCAGTCACACCAGTGGCTTCCCTTGGGACCCTGAGGCCCCCAGAACCGCCCCCTCCCCACCCTCACATCCTGCTGCTTGAGGCCCCTGCAGCTTCCTGCCTGAGCCCAGACCCTGCTAACCCTGAACCTGCTCCCCGAGAAGCCGTCTTCCAAGAATGAGGAAAACCCCACACTCACTGCTCCCAGCTGCCGTTCCTGAGTGCTAACTAGGAGTACGCCATCACCTGGACGAAACCATTCAACCCGCACAGCAAGTTCTGGAGAACACTTTCAGTTTCCCACAGAAGACTCAAGACTGCATGAAAGAGAGAGGCTAAAAATATGCCTGAGGCCTAGGAAGGGGGGGGGGGCGGCAGGCTCACCTTCACCTGATGCATTTGTCCCCAGGACCCTGTCCTCTGACAAAGGTGCCCTGGCCCCCCCACTTCCAGGGAGGGCCTGGCTCCCTCCTGCTACGCTGGTGCCCTCTCCTCAACCACCCAGTGCACTGTTCACCAGCCAGCCCCTGCTGCCTGGCCCTGGGCCGAGGAGACCCCTGCTCACCTCGTAATCCACCCCAACTCGGTTCAGGGCGATGTTGATGGTGAAGGTGGAGGCGTCGTGATGGGGCACCAGAGAGGGCTGTTCATCAGGCTTGTAGCGGACCACGAAGGCCAGATCGAACTGGGCCTGCGCTCAAGAGAGACAGATCAGGGTTAAAGAGAGGCCCCAAGGGCAGGGAAAGCAGGGTGCGGGGGCAGCCCCCACCCCGTCTGCTGTCAGCTCTCTGAGCATGTCACGTGCTCTCAGTGCGCAGGACAGTGGCTGGTACCCAGAAGGTTCTCAGGGAGGCTCTGGGGAGGGAGGGAGGAACAGACCCGCTGGGGAGAAGGGAAGAGGAAACACAGGGTGCGGAGGGGAGGGTGGGAGGATGGAGGCGGCTGTCCCCACAGCACTTTCTGGCAAAGATGGATCAAGGCGGTGATTCCTTGGGAGCAGGGTGCAGGCAGGCAGAGAAAGCCACGTGGACAGAGCGTGACTGGGGGGACAAAGTCAGAGACACTCAACGGAAGGGTGAGTGCTGGGGCCAGAGGAACCACGCCAGGAAGGGGCACGCAGGGCGCGTGCAGGGGGCTTATTCCGTGGGCTGCATTTAAGGACCAAGGGGTGAGGCTAGAGAAAGAGGCAGGGAGTCACCCCGGCCAGGCCCCGCCCCACCCCCAGGTCCCGCCCCGCCCCGGCCCGCCCAGGTCCAGGCCCGCCCCGGTGGCCGCCTTATCTCCTACTGTGGCCCAAATGTTAAGGCCATGAATGCATCTCCCCTATGCTCCCAGGAGGCCCACCCTGGTGTAGTAGCCGGGGTAGAGCTTCTCCGTCATCGGGGCAATGTACTCCACCAAGAACTTGTGCCACTCGCGCTCAAAGCTGATCTGGTTCATGTGGATGTCGATGGTCGGCACGTTCTCATAGCCACCTTGGATGCGGTTGTCCTGGAAGTGACCACGGGTGGTGGGCAGAGTGCTACAGACAGGCCCCAGATTCCCAGCCCCTGCTCTCCAGGCCCCTCCCCTTGGCCTGGGCCCAAACCGGGCAGGTTTTGCAGATGTAATGAAGTAACTAGTGAGTTGACTCCTGGTTAATCCAAAGGGAGACAGTTCTGGGTGGGTCCGGCCCCCTTTAAAGCAGGATCTGGAAGAGACTCCATCTCCTTCTGGCCTGGAAGAAGCAAGCTGCCTTAAACCCTAAGTGGCAAGGAAATGACTTCTGCCATGTGAACTTGGACCAGAACCCTGAGCCTCAGAGGAGAGCCCCACCCCAGCAGACACCTCCAGGGCAGCTTCTGAGACGGAGCAGAGCACCCAGCTAACCGCACGTGGACTGCTGACCCAGACACTGGGGGGCCTAAGTGGGTGTTGTTTTAAGTTTGGGGTCATTCTTAGACACGAAGAAAACTAATGCACAAGATCAGCTCTGGCGCTGGGGTTGATCCAGCCCCCAGCCAACCGCATGGGCTCTGCCATTGCTGCACCGGGCATACCGACTAGCTTCGGTCAGCAAAGTATGCAGACTGGGCCACTCACCAGCACCATGGGCAAGTCCAGCTGCCAGGTCAAGGTTAGATGGCAGTGAGGCACACAGACCCGCGGGCGAGCACCTTCGAAAATGGCGCCTGAACTTCCCAAGGAGAGTGCAGATATAGAATTCCTCCCTTCAGCCTCTCCCTTCTGCCCTGCCACCTGCTCCGCTGTCTGTGAACTTGGCATTGATAGTGCTTCCTGATGCTTCTTCATCCCACCCTTGCCCACCCCCCCATTCCACACCCAAACTAGGGAAGAAAGGCAAATCATTCCAAGCCAGGAATGAGAGCCAAACACTGAACATTAAGGCCACTCACCTCACCAGGAAGAACTCCTGGGATGAAGCCCCAGGCTCTCAGCCCTCTATTTCTAAGTGCCCTTAGGCACCCTGCCAGTACCCCCTCGAAGGGTCCTCGCTTGCCAGGGAAAGAGCCCAGAAGCGGGCATGGTGGAGGGCTGGCCACGCCCCCAGTCCCACCTTGTTATCCCCCAGGGACCACTGGCCATAGTTCTCCATCTCTTCCACCAGCTCGTCGCAGGCGGTGTCTGTGAAGATGGGGAACCAGTAGACATCGGGGCAAGGCTGTGGGAGGGCAGGGACTCAGTCACAGGGGTCCAGAGGGCCGCCACCACATCCTCCCCTGCCCCCCAACACCCTCGCAGACAAGGTCCACTCCCGCCCCATACCCTACACTGTGGGCGCTCCCAGTGCCCTATGGAGCAGGGTCTGGCTGAAGCTAGACAGACTGAGTGAGCTGCTGAGGAGAAGGAAGCACAAAGATGGCTGCAGGGCTGCTGGTGCCAGAAAGGGCATGTGGGCATGGAGGGGCAGAGGCCCGCAGGCTGCAGGGGAAGCAGGAGCCCCCCTGCTCTGTGCTCCTGGCCCAGGGGCCATGGTTCCGTTGAGACCACACTCACATCCCATCTCCTGCTGGGCCTGGGAAGAAGCCCCAGGCGCCAGGCCCTGCAGGCTCTAGTGGAAAGTGCCAAGAGGCGGGAGGGGCCATCCCGCTGCCCAGTCCCACCCAAGCACTGCAGAGCACAGAAAGATGCCGCCCCTGCCCCATCAACTAGTTTTATTCCTGGCCCCTGACCCCACAACCGACGTGGGGGTCAATCAGGTGGCTTTGTTCCCAGAAGGCCCCAGTCCTTACCATCTCCACCAGCTTCCCTGCCAGGGCCTTGGTGTAGTTCTCATGGATATACTTCTCCTTCCAGTCCTGCGGGGAGTGGGGGTGGGTGGGGTCCTCAGGCTTCATCTGGGCCAGCTGGGGCTCGATCAGCCCCACAGACTGCTCAAAGAAGGGGGTCCTCCCTACAGGCCCCGCACAGTGTGAGTGAAGGTGTGAGGCCCCAAAGTTTGAGAGGCTCAAGTCACCAGCCATGGGCCATAGAGGGGGACCTCCTACATCCGGTCGCTCCTCCACTAGATGGCGCTGTCTCTCTGACCGCACCAGCCTGGACCCAACCCTAACTGTCCTCTCCTTACCAAACCCTGCAGTCAGGCCCCTTGGTGTCCCAGCAACTCCCATCCCTGCCCACCCACCAGGGTCTCACCTCGGGATTGCTGAACACCTCCCAGAGGTCATTGTGGAGGTGGGTGGTCTGGTAATTGTCCAGGGAGAGCAGGTGGCCAAAGGTATGGCGGTTGGTCAGAAACATGAACACATCCTAGGAGAGCAAGGCAGGATGGAAGAGACCTGCACCCCTCCCCTATGCACCCCCACACTGGAGTCCTGGCTCCACAGCCTCCTCTGCCCACCAAGTTCGAATTCACAAGATCAGGGATGGATCTCTCCAGTCCCTAGTATAGTCTAGTTCATCCCAGTAGAGGGATTCAATCCAGGATGGCTTCCTGGAGGAAGAAGCAGTGAATGAATGAACGAATGCATAAAAGACAATGCTGCTCTTCTGTCCCTGAAGCTTGGAGCACAGGAGAAACACTACCACACTGTCTTATTTTTAGATATAACTGCAAAAAAAGACAGAAGGTGGCATGGGGAGACAGGGTAAGGGTGTCTATTGGGCACATCATTCAGATGGAAAGCTCAGTGAAAACTGGGTCAACTACAATGACCCCACAGACCCCTGAGGACCAGCTCCCTCATCCCGTGCTCCTTGGATTCCACCCTACCCGGCAGTCTTTGAGTAAACCCACTGGGATTCCAGAAGCCCAATGGGAACAGGCATCCCCCATGCCGTCCCTGGGCTTCCTCTGACTGCCCAGTCCTGCTGACCTGCTGCCGGATGTTGGCGCAGAAGGACATGTCAGGGTCCAGCTTGCTGTGGTGGAAAAGGTCTGTCTGCCACAGCTCAGCCCGCAGGGCGCTGCCCTTGATCAAGTAGACGTTTGAGATGTAGGGCACGTTCCAGACGCCACTGAGGGAGAGAGAAGATGGAAGGGTCACACACTGGCGTGAGGGGTCATGGGCTGGGGCCTGGAGCCAGAGGGAGAGGGGGTCACGAGCTGGAGGGGCTTGATGGTGCTAACTGACCCTGCCCCCGCTACGCAGGCTCAGGTATTGTGAAGAAGTTCTTCTGCGTGTCTGACCTTGGTCTTCCTTGCTTTGGGTTAGGCAGGAATTTGAAGCCAACAACAGGGGAATCCGGAGGGTGTTGCAAGGCAGGAGGGAGACGGATGAGGGTGCCCACCCTGGTACTCACACGCGCCGCCCCTGCACAATGTCCACATAGTCTTCAGAGCGGGCGTAGTAGCCATCGGCACTCAGCGCCCCCCAGAAGTTTGACCACAACCTCCCGTGACGGGTCATCAATGGGGCGATGACATTCCTGCAGAAGGGAGCACCTCAGTGGGAGCCTCTCTGCCCACGGGGAGTCAGGGAGACCTGACTAGGAAGGGCGGGGGCGAGGGGGGCCTTTCAACCTGCATGCAGGGCAGTCCAGGCACCTTGCTGGCAGGGCTGGAGGGGGGGACTGGCCCATATGGTACCACGATGGGTCAGGGTACCTCCCCCACAGGGTAGCCAGGAAGTGGCAGGAAGGAACATCCCACACCCAGTCAGGTTGCCAGGCTGGGGCAAGTCCAGGTAAGAGATGGGGGAGGGGCTGGAGCAGCCCCCCCACAGCCTCACTTGTTCTGTTCGATCAGCAGCTTTAGGGTGTTGGGCTCGGTCAAGGCCACATCCGCGTCCACGCTGAAATAGTAGGTGCAGCCACGGTCCTGTCGGCACAGGTCTCTACAGAGGAAGGGGTGCGTGGGGGAGGGGAGCAGATGGAGGGTCAGAAGGGCTGCACCCTGATGCCAGGAGCCCCACAGGACCCCGCTGCAGCCCCGGCAGCTGCCCTCCCCACCCCACCCCTGCCGGTCAGCACCAGGTGCGCAGAGGCCAGGCTAGCCCTGGGTGGGCTGGACAGCACGGCCCTCCCACTCCGAGGCCCAGGCCCGGGCTCCAGAGGGAGCTCTCAAAGCCTACAGTATCCAGGAACCCGGTGCTGGGGGACAGCGTGGCCCACAGACAGGTTCCATACTGCCTGGGTGGGGCGAAACTGGTTCTGGGGGTTGGTATCTTGTGCCAGAGCCTCGAAGCGGTGCTTCTGTGCTCTGATCCAAACCCAGCCCACTGCCTGTCTGCAGACGGCTGGGGAGCTGAGGAAGGCTTGATATTTTTAAATCACTGGGAACAAAAAACCAAAAAAGAACATGGGCAAATTATACGAAGTTCAGATTCCGCTGCCCATAAACAGTGTCCTGGTGCTGCCGCGGCAGAGCTGACTGGGAGTCACGCAGAGGCACCAGCCGGCCCCGGAGAGAAGCTGACCCGCCGGGAGGGTCTAGTGCCACTGGCTGCTTGTGGGTTTTAGCAACGAGGGGGGTTGTGGGCAGTCAGTGTCTGTAAATCTCGTGTGTATCTACCTCTGGTCCACCTCGTCTGCCATCTGAACCCAAAGGAGGCTGCTGAGTCCTTCGCCACCCCCGCTCCTAGGTTACAGGACAGGGGGGTTCCCCATTGACAGATGGGGACACGGAGGCCCAGAGGATCCTGCTGGGGACCCACAGGACGTCTCAACTCCTGTCTCTCGGCCCGGTGCTCCTAATAACACGCCTCTGCTAGCAACAAAGAAAGCCGCAACCCCCGCTGGGCCCCAACTCACGCGCCCATGTTCCTGGCATCGGCGTCGGACACCCGCACCTCGGGGCCCACCAGCTTCACGGAGCGGAACTGGCCACTGTGCTCTTCCAGGAAGTCCTCCACCTGGGCCTTGTGGTGTTGCTCCTGGTGGGAGGGAAGTGAGGCAGGGCACGCTGCAGGCTGCTCCCACTGGTTCCTGGCACAACCTGGCTTCGGCTTTCCTAGCTCCACCTCTGCCCAGGCCTGACCTCCTGCGTAGAGCGCCCCCCTCTGGCCATCCTAAGATCGTCCTCCTGGCCAGGCCTCTCAGAACTTCGGTCACCAAGACAGCAGGCCCTGCACCGGGATTATGGGCTCGCTGGCCTGGGTGTGGCCCAGGGGCTACTTTGTCATGGAACATTCCAGATGTTTCCTGGAAGCACTGAGAAACAATAGCCCACAACCACTACCTGCCAGTAGAAGGGAAAGGGGAGGTTTGCAAATGAAAAATCTCCCAGCTCTCCTGGGATTAGCCTTGGGCCGTGGCCAGGTGCGTCACCTGTCTCAGCTTCTGCTCCCTCCCTTGGAAGGCAGGGGCCGTGCCTCCCTCACCCGTCACTGTGATGAGCTGAAGAGCCAAACAGAGCACACAGCAGGCCCTCCAACACTACCTTTTTCTGCACAAAGCCACAGTTTGCGGGCGATGCCCACAGCCTTCTCCTATCTCCCTGTGGCGTCTGCACAGCTGAGGGGGTGTCTGTGACACAGGCAGAGGCAGAGCCAAGGGGTGCAGACAGTCCGGTGGGGGGAGGTCCCCCCAGTGGAGGAAGCTGAGAAGACTTTAAGTAAGCAAAGACCCTGGACAGAGAGGTAGAATTTGGAGCGCGCCTCCAGGTCTGAGTTGGGGAGATCAGGGCACAGAAGCCGCGAGGTGGTGTTTTACCCACCGAGGGAGGCAAGGTAGGGAAGGAGCAGGAAGTTAACTGCAGGCCAGCTCCCCACAAAGCACAGGCCTCCAGCACCCTCACCCTACCCCAAGTCCCCAGAAGACACTTGAGGGGTGAAACCAATTTGACCATCCCCAGATCAAACCAGGGCTGCCTGGGACAGGGAGAGAGATGTTGACAAAAGAAACACATCTCGGTCTCTGCCCACAGCTGAGGGCAAAGCACTGGGAGCCGAAACCCTTTCACTTCCCGGGTGACAGGAGTGTCCTTTATTCCAATAAGGTGACTCTCAGTGGCTCCTGGGTCTGGCTGGTCGACAGAATGACCAAGCTGTGATTATGAGAAACTTGGAATGGTCGGCCCTGCCCACCATGCTCGAGAAGAAAGGACAGAAGTGGAGTTAGGCCTACATGCCTTCCCCAGTAAAATCCCCGAAGAACGGGGTTCGGGGAGCTGGGGGCAATTCGGCCCACTGCAAACGGGCCTCAACACACCTGCAGAGACTAACAGTACTGCAGGGACCCACTCCATGCAGCCCATCCTAGTGTTTACGCAGCGCCCGGCTCCGCCCCAGCCGCCATTCTCTTTGGCAGTGCTATTATGTCCCCTATTTAAAAGATGACAAAGCTGAAGCCCAGAGAGGTCGAGGAATGGGCCCAAGGTCACACAGCCAATAGAAACTGCGGTGCCGGGGTCCGCGCCGGCCTGACTCCACAGTCACCCAGCAAAGGGGGCCGCAGCCACCGCCTACTTCCACGCGGCCTGGATGAGCCCGGTTCGGTCAGTTCTCAGCGGTCTCGAGCCACCCTGCCACGCCTCCGAGCACCCACTACTCACGTGGTTGTGAATGAAAAGCCGCATCTGCTTCTGAGGATAACGGAGGTGCAGAAGCCGCTTGAAGAACAGGGACAGGAACGGCGTGGGCTGTTCAATAAACACGCCGACCAGGACGACGGGCAGCGCTTCGTCCTGCACGGGGAAAGGACGGCTCAGGAGTCTGGCAACGTCCAGCCGCTGTCCGGCCGCTGCGCTGGGTCCCTAGGGCCGCCCGAGGGCGCCGGAGCTGGAGGCGT